TCCATGTTATGTGGTGTTTTGCAGATTTATTGTTATTCTTTAATGTTTTGTAGTATTCCATTGTGTGTACACACCACAGTTTGTTTATCCATTCATCCGTTGATGGGCATTGGGGTTGTTTCTATTTGTGAATAATTCTGCGATGAACATAGGTCTGCATATATATGTTTTTGTGATGACTTTCATTTATGTCAGATATATAACTAGTAGTGGTATTGCTGGATTCTATAGTATTTCTAGTTTCAACTTCTTAAAGACGTGCCATACTGCTTTCCGTGGTGGTGGTACTGTTTTACAATTCTACCAGCAGTGTATGTGAGTTCCAGTCTCTCCACATCCTCACCAGCATTTGTTGTTTTCTGTTTTTTTGAACTTTGCTATTATTACTGGAGTGAGATATCTCATTGTTGTTTTGATTCGCATCTCTGTATGGTTGATTAACGATTGTGAACATTTCTTCATGTGTTAGCTGCCTGAATGTCTTTAGTGAAGTGTCTATTCATGTCTTCTGTTCATTTTTAATTGGATTGCTTGTCTTTTGTTGTTGTTGTTAAGGTTTTGAAATTTTCTATGAATTCTGGAGATTAGTCCCTTGTCCTATATATCATCGCCAATTTATTTTCCCTAGTCTGTAGATTCTCTTTTGACAAAATCTTCTGATACACACAAATGTTTAATTTTTAGGAGATCCTGATTTGTGTGTGTGTCTTTCTTCCTTCCATCTATCACTCTTTCTAGTCCTCTTTCCCTCTCCTTCTTTCTTTCTTGACTACTTATTTCCTTGCTTCAGGCCTTATATGTGCCTAAAAGTAATATCTCACTGTTAAAATTTGAAAAAGATGTTAAATTTCTTTTCATTGATCTTGAGCTGACATGTTAAATGAAGCGGGTAAATAGATTAGTGATTCAGAAGGGTGATAGGTAGAGAAAGAACTTAGGCTGTGGGCAGTCCCAATCAGGAAATTCCATCTCTGTCCAGTTTTCTGAGTATGTTGAGACTGTAGAATCATGGGCTATGCCTGGCCTCCATTACAGGCAAACTCTTGGCTGTATCAAGCCTCCTTCCTCAAGCTGGTGTTAGCTGTAGTGAAGCATTTATTTGTTTCTCTCTGGGTCACCAGCAACCCTGATGTTGGTACCACCAGTGCCAGAGGAAACATTCCAAAAGGTTATTGAGTTCATGTCTTTTGTGGCTGAAAGAATCTTCCTAGTCTCTGCTTCCTGACTATTTGGGGCACTCTGACAACCTAGTTCCTCTAAGTGGAAGAGAAACTTGCTCCTACAGCCTGTTTACAACTCCAACACTTAGGTTTCTATGTGAAAATATGTAAGATGCCTTTCATAAGAAATCTGGGCAATCCCTTATTAACTCTGGAGTTGTAGCTATGCATTTACCAATGTGGATTAAAAAAAGTAACTTAATTGTTAATTGATTGTTGTAAATTGTTGCACAAGTTTGAATAATTACATTGTTTTAGAGCCCTTTCTGCTAGCTGGTTTTATCTAACAGGGGCCCGTGACTCATTTTTCATTAATGGTCAATTGCTTTTTAGCAGATTTACTCTTGGTTCTTAGATCTGCAACAGACCTGGTAAGCACTGCATGTATTAACTTGGGTAAGAATCTGCAGTAGAAAACACTGTAGTTAGACTGGGCGTTGTTGTTAGGTGCTGTCAACTTGGTTCTGACTCATAGTGACTCTCTGTGCAATTGAGCAAAACACTGCTGATTCTACGCCATCCTCACAGTCGTTGCTGTGTTTCAGCCCATTGTGGCAGCCACTGTGTCAATCCATCTCATTGAGAATCTTCCTTTTTTTCACTGACCCTCTACTTTACTAGGCATGATATCCTTCTCCATGCTGGACTGAGAGTTAGGATGGTTAATTAAGCACCATCCTGAGCACATTACTAAGACATCATTGTCATTAGTTTCTTCTTCTAGAAAATGAGAATAACATCACATCACAAGGCTTTGGTGAGCAATAAATGAGATCATATATAAGAGTGCAATATTCTAGGAATCACAAAGTGTTCTGTAAGAGGAAGCTTAGATGTAAGAGGAAGCTTTTTTCCCTAAAGCAGAGAGGAGAGGACATTTCTGTCTCACAATTTCACTCCTTTGACTAATAGAAAAATATTTTTCCTAAAACAATTAAATGGGCAGTTTGTTCTACTTTGTTCACTCATTCATTCATTCACAGCTCTTTATCAAGGGCCTACTATGTGTCAAAGAAGCTCTGGTGGCAAAGTGGTTAAAACACTCGGCTGCTAACCAAAATTTTGGTGGTTCAAGCAGTTGTTCCATGGGAGAAAGATGTGACAGTCTACTTTTGTGAAGGTTTAAAGTCTTGGAAACCCTGCAGGGCAATTCTACTCTATTATATAGTGTCATCTTGAGCCAGAATTGACTCATCAACTGTGGGTTTGGTTTTGGTTTGCCAGACACTGCTCTGTGTAATAACACATGACAGTCAACAAAGCCAATCTCTCTAGTCATGAAGCTTATGTTTTCGTGGAGGACACAGGCAATATATAAAAGCAAAGACAAGATCATTTTAGTCATTGCTAGATGTCTTTAAAAAAAGTGGAATAAGGGAGGAGGCACAATGGATGCTATTTTATATACTGTGATCATAGTTATTTATTCTGGAGAATTAAAATCTGCAGTTAATAAACCACCTAGTAAAAGCATAGTGCTTGAAATTTCCCAACAACTTTCTTTTTTTTTTTTTTTTAATAATTTATTTTATTTGTTTTGCTTGTTGAAAATATACACAGCAGAACATAAGCCAATTCAACATTAATTGCATTCTTCAAGTTGTGCAACCATTCACACCCTCTTATTCTTAACTGTTCCTCTCAATTAACGTAAACTCACTGCCCCAACCTTCCCATCTAAACTTATGAGCTGCTGTTGTCAATTTGCTTCCATATTGACAGTTCTTTTTTTTTTTTTTTAAATGCATTTTATTGAAATATAATTCATGTACAGTGAAATACACAAAACTAGAGTGACATGGGTCAATGCAATCTTTTTTTTGCAGTATTCCCTTCCCTCCCCTCCCCTCCCCTCCCACCCCTGGCAACCAACAAAGAAAGATTCCCTCCATATATAAACCTTTCCTTGACCCTCCACAACAATGAACTGATATGAATATTTATGCTGCTCCTCTTTTTTATTTTCATGTAGAGGTTTATAATTTTTCTTTGAGGTTACCCTGTGATTTATAGTTTTCTGCCCAAGGGTAGAACAGTCCGTTCTATCTTGTAGTTGTCTTGACTTCCCTACCATCTAGAAGTTCTGTAATGACACAGATTTTTTTTTTTCCCCCTCTTTTTGGTTTGTAGCTGTCCTCATTTGTCAGTTGGTGCCTCTGGTTCCCTGTTATATCTTGTAGTCTTATTTACTTTGGATACTTCCATAGCTGGGTTGCTTTCTGGGTTATATCATCATGTGTGTTAACTGTCAGTTGTTGTTGGCTGTTGTTGCTTCTCTGTCCAAAGGACTCCCTTTAACATCTCTTGTAAGGTTGGTCTGGTTTTAACAAATTCCCTTAATTTCTGCTTATCTGGAAATATCCTAATTTCACCATCATATTTGAGAGAGAGTTTTGCTGGGTACATAATTCTTGGTTGGAAATTTTTCTCTTTCAGTGTTTTATATATACCATCCCAGTGTCTTCTCGCCTGCATGGTTTTTGTTGAGGAATCCAAGCTTAGTCTTAGTGGTTGCCCCTTGTAGGTAACTTTTTGTTTTTCCCATGCTGGTGACTTTGATGATGATAAGTCTCGGTGTTTTTCTTTTGGGGTCTATCCTGCTTGGGGTTCATTGGATTTTCTGAATGAATATATTCTCATCTTTCATCATATCACTGAAGTTCTCCTCCAACAAATCTTGGACAATTTTCTTAGTGGTTTTATTTTTCTCTTCCTGTTCTGGAATTCCAATGACATGTAGGTTATTCCTTTTGATGGTATCCCACGTGAACCTTAGGCTTTCTTCATTTTGTTTTGATCTTTTTTCTGATTAATTCCTTTGCAAAGAAGTATTCAGGTATTTGTCTTCAATCTCATTAATTCTGTCTTACATTGAATCAATTCTACTCCTTTGCCCTTTCAATGCATTATCTATTTATGACAATTTAGTATTAATCTTCTGGATTTCTGTCTGTAGATTTAGGATCATTTCTAATGTTTCATTTATTTTGTCATTTTTTTTCCTGTATTTTCTTCCAAAATTCTTCTAGGGTGTTTTTCTGTGTTTTCCTTGGTCTGTCTTTCAATGCTTTGAAGATATTTAAACATAATTCTTTTGAATTCTTTATCAGGGAGTTCCAATGCTGCATCTTCCTCGTGGATGTGTTTTGGGTCTGTATCCTGGTCCCTTGTTTCTCCTGCTTTATCTTGCTTCTTTATGGGGACTGTGATCTTCAGTTGTCTCTGAGGCATTGTGGCATTTTTGTGTTTATATTTAATTGGGATTATATGTTGGAGTGACTTGCCCACAATTTTCATTTTCTTTGTTTTGCTTGTATGTTATCTATGTAAGCAGGGTACTGTGCTGTGCTCTTCTATTCACTAGTTGACAGAACTTACACACTCACCACCTGTCTCTTTTCCTGCTGTCAGCCTCTTGTATGTCCTTGCCACCCCTGGCAAAAAGAGCCTGTTCTTAGGTCTTGTTTTCGTTCAGGTTTTTCCACTATTTGGTGCCTACTCCACCTCTGTATAGTTCCTTTCAAAGCTCAGGGCTCCAGGATTTTTTTCTGTATCTCTGTCAATTGGTTTTTCTTTTCTTTGTTGAAGAGGGTCTATGTCTCTTGTCTGCCTATTCCTCCATCTTACCAGAAGTGATCCCCAACAACTTTCATGTCTTTTTTCCTTTTTGTACCTTGTAATACCTTTTTGAGGTGCAGAGTCAAGATATGATCCAGATTTGACAGCACAAGGGATTAAAGAACCAATTGGACAAAGTATCAAAATAGTGAATGTACATACCCATCTCGTGCCTGGTGCTGGACACACCTGTGCCATATGCTTCCAAAACATCCTCTACTGTCCTCATAGATTCATTATATTTGCCTGTAAGGCCAAGGAAGTTATAAGAGCCCATGTTGATGACATCTTTGATGATTCTTCCAGTAAATCTGCAGAGATAAGGGCAAAGGAGCACAAAGACTTTCCCACTTAATATCATATTCTAAACCAAAATAAATAAACAAAAAACCACCCATATCCATTCTCATTGAGTCAATTCCAACTCATGTTGACTCTGTGTTTTGTAAAGTAGAGCTGTGTTCCATGAGGTTTTCAAGACTGACTTTTAAGAAGTAGATTTCCAGGCCTTTCAAGGTGACTATGCATAGATTCAAACCATAAACTTTTTGATTAGTAGTAAAGTGTTTAATGGTACCACTTAGAGCCCTGTGAAAGACTCTTAACAAAGAGATTCTGAGTCTGACCTAAATCATGTATTTTCTATGTTTTCTCTCTTTTTCTTTTGTCCTTTCCTTCTCTCCCTCCTCCTTCCCCTCTCCCTCCTTTCTTTCTTTTTTTTCTCTCCCTTTCATTACTTCCTACCTCCCTTTTTCCTTTCCTCCCTCCTTCACTCTTTTCTCCCTTCTTTTTTCAATTTGCACTGTTGTCTCCACAACGTGGCTTGCTTTAGAGAAGAATAAACTCATACTGAAGCTTAGGAGAACATTGGAGAAAGACATCCTCAGCCTGACTTAGCCTTGATTTTCCTTGGGTACTTATATTCATTACACTTGCAGTCTGGTTTTAATTCCAGGAAACTTTCTATATGAGCAAGAGCTGTAGTCTTCCTTTTCTCCTTCATGAGAAGTAAGAGTATACAATTTGTCAATTATACAGAAAAGGACCCTTCCTGGTTGTCTCTTTGTGTCAGGTCCTGCACCTGCTGGCATATATCTAACTTCAATTGGAATATAAACACACACCCATGGCAACTTAATTTCTGTGACGTCTTCCATAGTGAGGGCTTGCAAGGGCTGAATGGTAGAACTCCAACTTGTTCTTGGTTTCTTCAGATCTGAAATCTGGTGCCCATGCTACCACGTCTTAGAAAAGTGTTTTTTTTTTTTTTTTTTCCAACCGATCCTCTCCAGATGACTGACTTCCTTACCTAAATGTCCAGTTGTAGTCATCTGACACCCTCTCCATTACATCAAACTGAGGCCCTGGGGCACTGCAGATGGGCCGGTTCCAATTGTCTCTGATTCGCATGTAAATGTTCCTCTTGTAAAAATTCTCAAAGTCTTGATACAGTGGCACAAAATCCTGTTATAACAGAGACAGAAGTTGAGCTTTAGTTTTTTGTTTTTTTTTCCCATATGTCATTTGCCATGGAAAGTTGGGAGTAGAGTCATATAAAGAATCAATTATCACATAATTTTGATCAAGGGCCAATGAGTGAGGGAAAAGGTAGGGTAAAAAATACAATCCCAAAGAATTTACTCTTTAGTGGAGGTAAAAAATGAAATAAATACAGCTAACAAAGTTGCCAGGACAATATAAGATGAGTCCTGAGACAATGGACAGAGACAATGAACCACTGAAATGTTCAGAAGGAGAGACAATTCCACAGGAATGGTAAGAGCAGGTGGCTATGTCCAAAGCAGTTTAGTCAGGAAAAAAAAAATGGAAACAGTAACTTGATATTAACTTTTTAAAACATGAATATTGCTACTAATAGCATCTTCAGAAGTGTGAATGAACTTGAACTGTTGAACTTGCTGGCAAAACTGTTGTTGACAGGTTGTTGTCTGTCACATGCTGAGGGCTTGGAAACCAAGCTGAGGAGCTTGTGGACATACATGGTTTTGTTTGCAGTTGAGGCAGTAGCACTATGCCACTGTGCAAGACATAATTCATACCTCAAGGGATCTGCAATCCAGCTGAGGCCAAAGCAAAAGATATCTAACAATGCCATTTAATCCATAGTAGTTAGAATAAAGCAGAAAATAGCAAATGTGTCCATAAGATTAGGGCAGAGGAAGGGTCACATCTTTCCAGAGGAATATTTCTTTATTAAGAGTAAATATTAGGTAGAAAATGACAAAAGACATAATTCTGGCCTAAGCCAAGTATTTTGACCATTAAAAGGATTAGGGCAATAGGAAGGGTCACTCCTCACTGGAGAAATCAGGGAGGCTTAGATGCAGACTTGGAGTTGGGCACAGAAGGCAGAATAAGATTGTTGTGGGCAGGAATGCTTGGTGTTGTCACTCAGGGTGAATGAAGCCAGTAGACAGGAAATGTGGGGTGCTTTTGAGAAGGGTAAAGATAAAACATAAGGCAGATTCTGTCACTCTTTGCTCAGAACATACCATGGCTCCCACTTGAGTCAAAGCCAAGTGCTTTACCAAGTTCCTACATGGTCTGACACAATGCTACCTCTGTGATTCCATCCCCTACGACCCCAAGTGTGGGTGAGTCTGTGAATGTCAACTGAGCACAGAGAGTGGGAGCCTTAAATATCTGCATGAAGAATGTCTTTATTCTGGAGGCAGTGCGGAGCCAACAATTTGAGTGGGCTTTCACATTTTCTCTCTCATCCTTTCTGAGCTATTAGCTTGCCTTTCTGTGATGGAAGAGAGTTGTTTTCTAGAGGGAATGAGGAAGATTATGGGAAAGTCTTTCTGGAAGACTTTATGTGCTATTGATTTGCCCTGCTCATCTGGAGAGATAGTCCATTTCAGAGGAAAATATATATGATCTGTAGATTTCGGCAGCTGATGGCTGCAGCCAAGTCACAGTCCTTTCCGCCATTGCATGCTTTGGTCCTCAGTGACAATGACATCAGTTTTGGGAGAAGGTTGTGATTATTTGTAGGAAGAATGCTCATAACCACACGTTGTGTGCCATCAAGTTGATTACAACTCATAGTGACCCTATAAGATAGAGAAAAACTGATTTATGGGGTTTCTCATGCTGTAAATATTTACAGGAGGGAGGAAATTACTGGGTCTTTTTGCTCCACTATAGGGTGAGGGAAGGACCAAGTGCAGCCTAAATATGCAGCCACAAAACATGGTTTGTTTCTTCTGCAATCTGACAATCCTTCTGCAGTGTGACAATTCTTCCATAATGTGACAATCTTTCTTTTTCTACCTTACAATTTATATGGTACTTTATAATTTTCAAAGTGTTATAGATATTTCTACTTAACTTTTATGACAAGTCAGAAAATTTGAGTGGATAAATTGGAAATTGTGCCCATTTTCAAAATAAATATTTGTTTTTCAGAATGCCATGCTACAGAGCTTGGCATTTATACGGAAGATAAGGGCACATATCCCTATCTCATTAAAAAATCTTAACAAATTTGGAAGCATATGCCTTTATATTTGATTTAACCACCTGCCCATCTGTAGCAAACAGAAGGATCGATTTGTAGAGTGAGAAAGGATCACTATGGAACATTTATTATTCATCTCTGCCTACACTGACACATTTGTTCTCACCTACTCTTTCATTTTATATCATTATTTCCTTTTGACAAACAGCTCTCTTTCTTACCAGCACTAACAAACCAAACCAAACCAACTGCCAGTATGTCTATTTCAACTCATAGAGACCCTATAGGACAAACTCAGAATAATAACAAAAAATGTTTGATTTCATTTATGTTGGTAATGGTAACTGTATTTAAAAAAGTTGTCTGAAGTATGAAAAACTAAGTTAACTAAATTTAATTTCTCTTTTTAAAAAAATTAGAAAAGGGGAGGACATAATTAGCTGTGTAACTTTTCACCAAAGACACAATAAAATATTGCTTAAAAAAAGAAATTAGAAGAGAATTGAGTGAACTTGGCAGACTGAGCATTGTATAAATCCTGCCACTCATCTAACAGTCCCATTAAATGGCCAAAAAGATATTAAAAAAAAAAAAAAAGTTTAAAAATGCCTAGGAAAACAATCAAGAATGTCCTCGATGGATCAGAAATGCTGAAGAATCACAAAAGAATACAATTAAGATCAGATCAATGGATAAATAAAATCATAGGAAACCATAATGCAAAATATTTTCAAAGAAAATTAGTGTATACGTAAGCTCACTTCAGGGGAATTTCAAGCTGAGAGTCAATATCTACAAGAAGTTTATAGTTATGTTCATTAACTGAGAAGCTAGACCTTTTTTCCTCCTATTTCACTTATCAATAAAAAACAATAATATTTCACATAAGACAAAGCAATATGGTGGGCGGGAAGAACTGAAAGAACAGTGCGCTAATGTAAAATGTTGGGGACCCCGCAAATCTGGAAGACAAATTACTGGTCCTTGAAACTCACTCCATTCCCCTTCTGCAACCACCCAATGCAGACTTCTCATTTCAATTTAACTTTCTTTTCTTCCCAGAAGCCTTCATTTTACACCCAATATCAGGTTAGATGTTTCTCTTCTTTTTTCCCGTAACATCTTCCACTTAACCCTACTGTACCTCTAATCACATTCTATTGTAAATGCTTGTTTCATAGTTAGCAGCCAGAAGCAAATTTTCTGCCTTGTTTACTTTCATATCCTCAGATTTTAGCTCAGAGATTGGCACAAATGCATGTCCCCAAAAGATTCTGACTTCCTTAATGAATTAATAAACATCTTGGCACAAGCAGAGCCCTCTTTCGTGAGTGTCCTCCCTTTGGACCCTTGGTAAACTCCTGTTCATGACTCAAGTTCCAACATAATGCCCTGCTGATTCCCTAAATAAGTCATGGGGTTTGCATATTACCCTCCTCCTCGTGACCTTTTATTTCATAATTTTCTTGTGAGTTGCTTTGCACAACAGGCATCATATACTTGAAAAAACATACCTGTCTTCTACACATATTTTGTACCCATTATATACTTGCTAAGGGTAGGAGGGATTATAATAATAAAACTGGACCTGACTTGCTACCTTACTAAAGGTGACATATTTAAGGAAATAACAAAAGAGCATTCTACATGTTTTGTTCATGAGTACATCATTGTAATAAATGTTTATCTTATCATGCCTGCCATTCACTAAGTTACAGGATTTTAAGATCCCTTCTTACATTGATATTCATGTTTCACATACGTTCTTCTCCTTGATGTGTTCAAGGCTTAATCATGTGCAATATTCCATGCTCTCATTCATACTATTCCAAAGCAATTTTTGGAAAAAAGAGATACATGGCATCATAAATTCTTTGAACCAATTTGGAGAACATACTAACAAAATACAGAGCACTTACAGATCTCTGAATGTTTTCCATATTGTCTTGTTAACTCTGTGTGAAAAGGGGATGATTAGACATTTATAGGTTAATTAGTGAAAGTATCTAGATCAATGATTCTACATGGGGCTGATTTTGCACCTCATGAAATATCTGACAATGTTTGCAGGCCCTTCTAGACAATGTGCCTCATGCCACCACCCATCTGTCAATAGAAGCTTGCATGTGGATATGATGCTGAATGAGTTTCAGTGAAGATTCCAGACTAAGACAAACTAGGAAAAATGCCTGGTGATCTACTTCTGAAAATCAGCTAATGAAAATCCTATGGGTTACAATGGTCCAATCTGTGCCTAATCTGTCATGGATCATGGGGATGGCATAGATCCTGGAAGGGTTTAGCTCTGTGGTGAACTAATGGGTTTATGAGTCAGGAGACACAACTCAAAAACAGTTATCTTTGGTTGTCACAGTATGTGGTGGATGCTATTTGCATCTAGTGGGTAAAAGCCAGAGATCCTGCCAAATGTGCTATAATGCACAGACCAGCCCTCCACACCAGACAATTCTCTGGTCCAAAATGTCAATGTTGAAGTTGAAAAATTATGATCTAAATGAAATAAAAATCTTACATTTTACTCAGATACACTTATTTATTCCAAGATTGATTGCAGACAATATGCAACATAACCAGAAGAGAGTCCCCGCTCCCTGCATATGCCCTTCTTCTTATATTTCAATTTATTCATCTTTAAAATGGTATTTCAATATATATCTCATGGGGTATTATAAAGTTAGTTATTATATCCGTGTATAGCAGAACACTTAATTCACTATCTAGCAAATAGTATTTGCTCAATAAAAGTTTGTATAAACAATAAGTTCATGAAAGGACAGGGGATAAAGCTTAGGGAGAGGATATAAATGAGATGAACCTGAACATCTCACACTTTCTGGGTCTGCACACACATCTCAAGTTCTGAGAACACTCTGTAGAAGAATAAAAACAATGACAAAGATCCAGAGGTGCAAATACGTACTTTTTGTTCTTTTCGTTCTATGGCAGCGTTGCATTTTTCTATTCCCCAGTTTCTCAAAAAGTCTCTGAAATGTCCAAATAAGGTTCCAAGTCCATACCCCATGTAAGTGAAAACCATTACATGAAGAGGTGCTTCCTCAAATGATTCAACAATTGGCTTACAAAAATGTGGCTTTCCATTTTGCTGAAAACACAAAAGAAAATAAAATGTTAGCACTCTCCCATTACAAATGTACTATGACACATAATATTTTAGATTTTTAACATTTTTAATTTCAACAAGCATGTTCATATTTAGGATTGTAAAATCTGCTTAGAGAAAAATGGAAATTAATTATTGAAGATGGTAATCAGAAATGTGAATTCTATTTTACAACCTCTAGGAGCTCTGGTCTTGACTGCTAACCAGAAGGCTGGCAGTTCAAATCCACCAGCCACTCCTCGGAAGGAAGGTTGGGCAATCCTACTTCCGTAGTGATACTGCCTTG